GTTCCGTTGTATTTGCTGATTATATCATGTGCCATCGAATGAACAGAATTCACAGGCTCTAGTGTAAAATGGTTGTGAGCAATGCGATAGCGTTCATTGTGCTCGTTAAGGATTGTTTATTTGCGATTTCACTTTTATGACACGCCGCTAGTTGCTATTCCTATTCATTGCCTGAAAGTAAATGAGTCGTCTATAGAAAGTAAACCTATAAAACCGTAAACATTTGTTGTTCAATACGAAGAGATATTGTGCAAATAAAACGCTCTCAAACTGACGATGAACTCACATGTGTTTTTCGTGTGTAAATGTGGGATAGAGATAAAAACTTGCGAGAAACTGATCGTGAGACGGAAACTAGATGAATGCTAAAAAATTATGGCATTAGCTTAACGTGTTAGCATCAGATGTAAAAGCTCAGCATACACACATCCAGAACGGCCAAATTCTATCCGCATTGAACAGAAGTTCGTAGTGAGCACGAGTTATTTGGTGATCAGAATGACTGTATACGATGATTTTTTCACTACGTTTTCAGTTTTTTCAGTTTCATTCAGTGTGTTTTATCGGATTCGTGAATTTTTTTGTTTGAAAAGATTCGTAAATATTTTTCGGTTTTTGTACCAGCTTTACGGTTTTCTAGCAGTTTTTTTTGGTCGTTTTTAAACATATTCAACACAGTGTCGCAGTTTTTATAGCGTTTCAATAGGAGTGTTCTTGAAATCGCGATAGAAACCGTAAAGCAGAGACGAAAAATTTTCAGAGGGATGTCACAGCCGAAAAAAGTGCATCACTTCAACATCCACGATGTCACGCTAAACACCGTGACCGTTTTCAATGACCGCGCTGAAATAAAGCGAACTCTGCAGGTGCCACTCGAGTCGGGCATCAATGAGGTTCTCATCGAGGTGAGATGAACGGAGAACTCTTCTGATAAGTGCAGACGATAGCGATGACCGTATCGCATTTCCTATTATCCATTGACACCAAACATTTTCACATCGCTGATATCCATGAGATCACTGAACAATTTTTTTGCATCTCAATACTTATTGTCAAATCTTGATCGCTACTCATTGAGAAGTCCTACAGTGAGGACGTTGAACGTTACATCAGTTGTTTGGGAACTGTATTCACAGCATTTCTATGCGCTGATTGTTCAAAAAAAATGTTGTAGGGAAGGATATTTATGTTTGGTTGGATCTTTTAGAATATCACGAATAAAGCAGATCCAGAGTCGATTCGAGTGGACGGACATGGATCAGCAGTTATCCATGACGTACAATTTCAGTGCAAATCCGCACTTCCAGAAGAGGCCCTCTCACCGAAGGTTATCAATTAATTTATCTTTGACTGTTGCTAATTTACAATGCTCATTCGTGGTGCGTTAAGAGTGCGATCAGGTTGAACATAATTTGTGTATTCATTGGATTAATTTGATCAATTTGATCAATTTCTGATTCATTTGATTAATTTTTGAACTTCTGAATTCATTTCCGAATTTCGACAACGGTTACATCAGTGTCTTTCTCATATATTTTCCACTTATGATTACATTTTCCTTTTTAATCGCCCGCTCCCAATAACTGATAGCGAAAAAGAATCCTAAAGGTGATCTTCAATCAGTGAGACGAGAGTGTTTAAATGAGGGCGATTATTTACAGGCGAAGGAACTGGAACAGGAACGTAAAAAGTTACAGACTGAAAAAGAAACCATTGAAGATCGACAAAATGTTCTAAAAAGACGAGTTGAGGTGCTCGACGAAATCGTTGCCAAAGTATGTCGTTGTTTTCATGAACTCAGTAGATTGTTGCAACGAGAACACATTCGAGATTGCAGACCGCTCAAATCTTTTACTTCAACTCGATTCTTCAAAGAATCAATAAATTGTTGATGATTACCTCAGGTTGGTGAATCTGTAGTGCATCGTCCAGCTGGAGAACAGTCGGCATCGTTCGTTTTGAATGATGAGTCACTGCAAAATCTCACGAAATTCTTCTCGTTCTATGAAGATAGTTCTGTTGATATGCGCAAAAAATTACGTGAAGTGAACGAAGAACATCGAATTGTTGATGAAAAACTGACGAAGTTAGCTGCCGAAATTGGAGCGCTACAACACGACGAACGTTATGCAAGGTACGCTATCATCATCCGATTCACTAACAATAAGCGTATTCTTTATGTGTTTTACTTTCGAATAATGAAGCATGCATATTCCTGGCTCTCAAACTTTTGTAAAAATTCAGCGCATTGCATTCATTATATTATCAAAATAAATCCTCCGAGAGACAGTGCTTTAAAGATAGAGCAAATCTTCAGACATGTCAGTGTGCTATTGGAAAGTGCTGAGGGTGGCGATGTGGAGCTGGATGTGAGCTATCAAGTGAGTGGTGCGACCTGGCAACCAAGTTATGATATTCGTGTTGATGAGAAGACATCAGAGGATGAGAGTACTCTGAAGGTAACAAAATCTACAGATATTCTTTGAACTGGCAAGAAACTCTTATTGTTTATTTGTGTATAAATCAGTTTCGTCGTTGAACTAACTCGCTGATCTAGGATATCCGCAAACGTTGGTGAAGATGTTTAACGTGTTGTTGTTGAAACGATCAAGTGTTCTAGTAGTGAGTTATTTCAGTTGATTTACTACGGCAAAATAGGACAGAATACAGGCGAAGAATGGGTTGATGCACCGTTGGTGCTCAGCACAGCACAACCATCACTTGGTGGTAATCTTCCGAAATTCGGTACTCAGGTGGCCTATCTGTACAAACCGGCTCCAGAACTACCTCCAGCACCACCCCGTCCTGCACCATTCGGGGCAGTAATGAAACAGCAGCATTTGGCAGTTCGGTCTGCGAACGAGTAAGATAAAATGATTTCTCATTGACGGATGCATTTCAATTGCGTGTTTTTGTTGATAATCCTTCGTCACTTCATATCGCTTGTACAATTTTCGCTTTTAGTTCAAAATATGTTGTGGCTAGGGCCCTAACTCTGTATGCGTCAACTGAAGGAAGTGTTTTTAGATGTTTGTAAATTGTTCAAGTAAGAATGAAAATGCAAGTGTTGCCTGGTAATATTCATCATTTGCAGTGCGATGGAACATGGCGCACTGTTTGGAACACCGCCTGCGATGGCTTATGCAGCAGTGAATGTTGCTGTAAGTTGTGCGATTGAACATTGAATGCTTGTTGCAAAAACAATGATCATTGATAGAAGTGGCGCAGCCAGGAATTTCATTATGAGAAGGGAAGGAAAATGGTTTAGTGCAGAAAAAGCTGAAACCTAGGATGGATTTTTAATCGTTCAATTGTCTTTTATCGTCCATCTCCCCCCCTCCTCCTCCTCTTTAAGGTGGTTGGGGCGCGCCCTGAGCCTCTTTTTAGCAACGCCACTGATTGAGAATGTCATTATTGAACCAATATTGCTTGACCTTGGTGAAATCTTTTTCAAAGGGATGGCCCAATATTTTGAATGATTATTAGTCGTAGCAAAGTGCATCATACCATTTCCAAGCAGAAAATCGCTTTTTATGGATGTTTTTGAGTGGAAAAGTTGTTAGTTGCTATGATTTGAATGGTGTTTTGTAACTGTGATTATTTGTAGTTAATTGGATGGAGAGCCTTGTTACCAAACATTATCTAGCTATTCATCTTCTTTATTTCATTTGTTTTTCGTGAATGCTTCAGCCCGTTTCGACTGGCGATACGGTGCTCTCAACGGTGTTTGTGATAGCACGCCCGGCCACAATTCCGTCGGATTCGAGTGAACATAAAGTGACCATTGCAACAATGGAAATGAAGCCAACGATGATACATGAGACAATTCCGTCCAAGAACACAAACGTATTCCTGACCGCTTCAGTGCTCAACTCATCGCAGTTTCCGTTCCTTCCTGGCCAAGCGAACGTATATCTCAACAACAGTTTCGTTGCAAAGGTATTTTCGTACGTTGTTCAGTACGAATACACATGCTGAGACTCAATTTGTTCCCAAATAGTTTGCAAGAATAATGGCAAAACGTGTTTGGCTGTTTTTTAATTCTCAATCTTTTGTTGGGTTTGATGTACTAAAGCGATCATGTGAATGTTTAGTGTTTCAAATCTTCAATTCCATTCTCATTTTCTGTTACTTTTCAGCTCATTGATCAACATTATTTGTGAAGATATCCGCACTTTTCACTTCATACAATGAATTGAAGGATTGTCATGCGCTAGTCATATCATCGCATGTAAAACAATTGTGTTAGTAATAAGAGTTCATAGCAGAATATAAATTCAAGTGATGAATTATTCGTGAGGTATGTACCAACGCATTACAAAAGGTGAATTTCAGAGCCACATAAAAGCAGTTTCACCTAACGAAAGATTTGTGTGTTCGTTAGGAGTCGATCCGGGCATTAAACTCGAATACAAGCCACTTCATAAGTTCTCAGAGCAGGTCAGTTCGTCTGTTCTTATTTGCTTTTGAGTTGCATAAACTCTCGTTGATTTTGAATGAGATACAGATTGTTTTGCTGAATGCAACTCAAAATATGGTTTTGTTTTTCAGATTGGACTCCTGACGAAATCTGCGTCCATCGTAAATGAACAGCGAATTGTGATCAAAAACACGAAGAAGGAAAAGATTCTACTCACTCTCAGAGAGCACGTTCCGAAGTCAACTGATGACAAAATCAAGGTTGACGATTAACTCTTAACTCTTTTGAAGGGCAATAGGTAAGCATAAGCCATCAGTAGTTGAAAGTATAATTAGAAATTGAGTATTAGTTAAAGTGAACCAATATGTAATGTATTGTACTGTTTCGTAGAGAATGATCACCTCATAAAATGATGTACTTCCTTCTTAAGATCAAGCTGTTCTCGCCTGAAATCGATCAAAAAGTGGCCAACTCAACTGCGGCTCCAAATAAAGGGGAATTACCTCCAATCGGAGCGCGTCTTGATTCGTCTCATAATCTGGAATGGACCATGAATATTGAGCCGAGTACGGAATCTGAAGTGGTTGTCAAATGGACAGTTGAGCATCCGAATGGAGAAACTGTCGCGTATCGTGAAGAATTCTGAACTTCACGCAGTTCAAATGTGAACTATCGATTCGTTTTTGAATAGTTGAAGAAGTTTTGTTGAGAAAAAATATGACGAAAAATATTTGCAAAAAAATTGAAAAACACTTGTCATATTTGAAAAAAAAATTCCTTTTCTATTGACATGTTTGACGAAAATGCTTTAACGGATAAATTTGGTTCTTTAATGAGGATTTTATTGATTTTATCAAAGTTATTCCGGTCTTACCAATGTAATCTTTTTTGGATGAATAAACATTCCTTGAATGTGTTCTTGTTACATTCGGTTTGTGTACGAATACATGTAAACGGTTTGAAAATGCTCCCACCAACACATTTTTTAAAACTTTAGTAATCATTTTTAGTGATCGCTATTTCTCAGGTATTTCTTACTGTAGCAAAGGATTATTGCACTCTCCAAAGACACGTTTCAATGAGGCCTAAGAAACAAAATGTCTTATGTGAGTGGTTTGCAGTGAACCCTTTTTGTAAACTTGAGCTATTTCGCAACTGTGTCAGAGAGAAACACTCAAAGAGGCGGTTGAACGCTCAAATTATATAATGTTTATCGTATGTTGTACAATTGAAATGAATGCTTGAAGCAGTTAGAGCTGCGTGTTGTCTCGAAAACTGAATACCAATGAATGTGGATGATAGAGTTGATTCAGTCGGATCTAAACTATCTATTCGAGGGGATCAACATCAACGTGTTAATCCGGCAGATGTTTCCT